GTGGCGCATACCTGTGGTCCCAGCTACTCGGGAGGCTGAGGTGGGAGGATCGTTTAAATCTAGGAGTCGAGGCTGCAGTGAGATGAGATGATGCCACTGCATTCCAGCCTGGGTGACAAAGTGAGACCCTGTCTCAGAAAAAAAGAAAAAATCCAAGAACGAAAACTCCAGGCTGGTACAGTGGCTCGCACCTGTAATCCCAACTCTTTGGGGCGCCGAGATGGGTGGATCACCTGAGGTCAGGGGTTCGAGACCAGTCTGGCCTATGTGGTGAAACTCTGTTTCTACTAAAAATCACAAATTTTTTAAGGAAAAATGGACTTTTTCCTCTCCCCCTAAGAAAGGATAAAACTCCTTCCTGGTTATTAACTGAAATGCTCATCAAGCCTTGTCCTAAAGAAGATCAGTAAATGCAGGGACAGTGGATAAGAACCTTGTGAAATGTTTCCTGTTCGAGATCCTAAAACGAATGAAAGTGACAGCTTTTGGGATAAGGTTTATATGAGGGTGTTTGACGGCATTTGGAACTGATGCATATCAGTAGAGATTGCGGCAAATCGTATCATCAGCAGAACTTCGCTAAAGAAGCAAAACTGGACCCATCACACATGCTGTCCATGTGGTCAGGCTCCTGGACCCATCACATGTGCTGTCTGTCTACACGGTCAGGCTCCTGGACCCACCACACTTGCTGTCCGTCTACACGGTCAGGCTCCTGGACTCACCATACGTGCTGTCCGTCTACACGGTCAGGCTCCCGGACTCACCACACTTGCTGTCCGTCTACACGGTCAGGCTCCCGGGCCCATCACATATGCTGTCCGTCTACACGTTCAGGCTCCCGGACTCACCACACATGCTGTCCGTCTACACCGTCAGGCTCCCGGACTCACCACACATGCTGTCCGTCTACATGGTCAGGCTCCTGGACCCATCACACGTACTGTCCGTCTACACGGTCAGGCTCCTGGACCCATCACATGTACTGTCCGTCTACACGGTCAGGCTCCTGGACTCACCACACATGCTGTCCGTCTACACGGTCAGGCTCCTGGACCCACCACACTTGCTGTCCGTCTACACGGTCAGGCTCCTGGACTCACCACACATGCTGTCCGTCTACACCATCAGGCTCCCGGACTCACCACACATGCTGTCCGTCTACATGGTCAGGCTCCTGGACCCATCACACGTACTGTCCGTCTACACGGTCAGGCTCCTGGACCCATCACATGTACTGTCCGTCTACACGGTCAGGCTCCTGGACTCACCACACATGCTGTCCGTCTACACGGTCAGGCTCCTGGACCCACCACACTTGCTGTCCGTCTACACGGTCAGGCTCCTGGACTCACCATACATGCTGTCCGTCTACACGGTCAGGCTCCCGGACTCACCACACTTGCTGTCCGTCTACACGGTCAGGCTCCCGGGCCCATCACATATGCTGTCCGTCTACACGTTCAGGCTCCCGGACTCACCACACATGCTGTCCGTCTACACCGTCAGGCTCCCGGACTCACCACACATGCTGTCCGTCTACATGGTCAGGCTCCTGGACCCATCACACGTACTGTCCGTCTACACGGTCAGGCTCCTGGACCCATCACATGTACTGTCCGTCTACACGGTCAGGCTCCTGGACTCACCACACATGCTGTCCGTCTACACGGTCAGGCTCCGGGACTCACCACACATGCTCTCCGTCTACACGGTCAGGCTCCTGGACTCACCACACTTGCTGTCCGTCTACATGGTCAGGCTCCTGGGCCCATCACATGTGCTGTCCGTCTACATGGTCAGGCTCCTGGACTCACCACACATGCTGTCCGTCTACATGGTCAGGCTCCTGGACTCACCATACATGCTGTCCGTCTACATGATCAGGCTCCTGGACTTACCACACTTGCTGTCCGTCTACACGGTCAGGCTCCTGGACTCACCACACTTGCTGTCCGTCTACACGGTCAGGCTCCTGGGCCCATCACATGTGCTGTCTGTCTACACGTTCAGGCTCCCGGACTCACCACACATGCTGTCCATCTACACGGTCAGGCTCCTGGACTCACCACACTTGCTGTCCGTCTACACGGTCAGGCTCCTGGGCCCATCACATGTGCTATCTGTCTACACGGTCAGGCTCCTGGACTCACCACACATGCTGTCCGTCTACACGGTCAGGCTCCTGAACTCACCACACTTGCTGTCCGTCTACACGGTCAGGCTCCTGGGCCCATCACATGTGCTGTCTGTCTACACGGTCAGGCTCCCGGACTTACCACACGTGTTGTCCGTCTACACGGTCAGGCTCCTGAACTCACCACACTTGCTGTCCGTCTACACGGTCAGGCTCCTGGGCCCATCACATGTGCTGTCCGTCTACGCGGTCAGACTCCTGGACTCACCACATGTTCCATCCGTCTGCACAATCGGGTTCCTGGACTCATCACATGTGCTGTCTGTCTATGCAGCCAGGCTCCTTTCTATTGAAGTTCAGCTTGGCATAGAATTTTTTATGAATTTGAATTTGTCAAACACCTCAAAAAATATATATATATATATATTTTTTTTTTTAGGAAATCAGCATGACTTAATAAAAGTAATTTGGGTGGGGTGGCATGTGCCTGTAGTCCTAGCTCCTGGGGAGGCTGAGGCAGGAGTATTCCTTGACCACAGGAGTTTGAGGCCAGCCTCGGCAACATAGGGAGACCCTGTCTGTGAAAACAGACAAGTAAATAGCACCCAGCTTCACTAAGAGATGTCATCATCAGGTGAATGTTGGAGATGGTATAGATACAGTTTCTCAGTGCCCGCCCTCAGGTTAGAAACATTTCAGCAGTAGGCTTTGTTTCAGTTTTCTTCTTTACTGTGAGGTGCAAAGCAGCCGGCCCATGCCTGGGCCCCAGCCTCACCAGGGAAGGCCGGCAGAAGAAGGTGTCCGCGTGAGGATCACCATCAGGGTGGTGGCAGTATGGCAACAAACCTCATTTTGGTGGAATTTCTTTGTTTTCAAATCAGGTGCTCTTTTTACATAACACATCTGCTGTCATGGATTTTCTTGACAGATGGTGTAGTATGCGCCTGAATTTTATCCTCGTCATGTGGGAGCCTCCAGCAGAGAGAAGGCAGACACACGAGCACAAATCTGCTCTGCGCTGCTTTTGGCAGCCGTGGCCTGGGTGTCTGTGCCCAAGTGCAGCACGGTCGCAGCTCTCTTTCAAACTCTCTCAGGGCTGTGGGGCTTGGACCTGGTTGTATTTTTATATTTCGAGCTTTGCGGTTTTCAGGATGTTTTAAATTAAACTTGCATTTTTGTTTATTTCCAAACCTTAGTGCATCAGATTGGATCAATCAATCAGAATCTCCTGCTTCATCAAGAATTGTTGATGTTCATCTCTGTTAGCCTTTTTTTTAAAATTTAGAGATAGAGTCTTGCTCTGTTGCCCATGCTGGAGTGCCATTGCTCAATCATGGCTCACTCCAGACTCCAGACTCCAGCTGCTGGGCTCAAGCAATCTCCTCAGCCTCATGAGCAGCTGGGACTTGAGAGGTGCATGCCATCACGCTCTGCTAATTTTTTGTGCAGATGGGATCTTGCTCTATTTGCACAGGCTAGTTTTCGACTCATGGGCTCAGGTAATCCTCCTGCCTCAGCCTCCCCGAAGCGCTGGGGTTATAGGTGTGAGCCACCACACCCAGCCTGTTAGTCCCTTTTATTTGTTTATTCTTTGACTAGCTGAAGAGCCGGAACTTTTCCAGTTCTTACCCTTCTCCCACTGCTTGTCTCACCTCCAATCTGTATGTGAACATGTGTGGTGGACTTTGATCCATTGAATACTGTGCTTGTGAGATTCATCCATGTTGCATATGCAGTGGTAGTTCATTCATTCATTCATTTTCACTGCTATAGAAGGCTCTAGGCTCTACATGGTGGTTGATACCTATAACTCCAGCTCTTTGGGAGGCCGAAGTGGGAGGATCACTTGAGGTCAGGAGCTCAAGATCAGCCTGGCCAATGTGGTGAGACTCCATCTCTATAAAAAATTAAAAAAATTAGCCAGGTACACAGCTCATGCCTGTAGTTCCAGCTGCTTGGGAGGCTGAGGCAAGAGGATGCTTAAACGCAGGAGGCCAAGGCTGCAGTGAGTCCAGATCACATTGCTGCACTGCAGCCTGGGTGCCAGAGTGAGACCCTGTCTCAAAAAAGAGAGGGGGTTCCATTGTGTGAATTGTTTTTATCCTATATGGTTTTCTTTTTCCTTTTATTTTTAATTTTGAGATGGAGTCTTGTTCTGTCGCCCAGGCTGGAGTGCAGTGGTGTGATCTTGGCTCATAGCAACCACTGCCTCCCAGGTTCAAGCGATTCTCCCATTTCAGTCTCCCAAGTAGCTAGGACTACAGGCATCCACCACCATGCCTGGCTAATTTTTCTATTTGTAATAGAGATGGGGCTTCACCATGTTGCCAGGCTGGTCTCAAAGTCCTGACCTCAGGTGATCTGCCTGCCTCGGCCTCCCAGAGTGTGGGGATTACAGGCATGAGCATCACACCTGGCCTAGCATTTTCATTGTTAGAAAGTTTGTAGGTTGATGGGTCCTTGGTTTTTTGTTTTTTTTTTCCTGCCTGCTGCTGGAGAGGAGCTGAGCCTTGAGGATAAGGGAGGAAGAAGAAACTTGAATGCTTTGGCTGGATAGGCATATTTAAGGTGTTCTCCTGCAGGTGGCACTCTGTACATGGAGCGAATTACAATATTTGAGGAGTCCTTCCCTATATCACCTCTGAAGGCAGAGCTGTCACATAGTCTCGGGGCCCTGCTTTCTGTAGAGGTCACTCACGAAGTCACCCAGAGCCAGAGCTGAGTCCCTGGTGTAGCCAACAGAGTCTCACACTGACCCTGGGTGCCCCCAGTGCAAGCCTGTTCACATCTTACTATTCATATCTCAGCATCAGCGTTCATACTGTAAGTAACACCCTGGTTCTTCTCCAACCTGTTTTTCCAGATAAACATTGAAGATCTTGAGGATGACCCTGTGGTGAATGGGGAGAGGTCTGGCTCTTCGCTCACAGACACTGCCGCACCAGGGAACAAAGGAAGGGCTCCCTGTGGAAACACAGACACCAAGGCGGATGGAGGCGTGGCCAGGACAGCGCCCCCAGAGCAGGTGGGGGAATGAGTGGTGAGGAGGGGCGCTGGACAGGAGGGTTCCAACACACAGGCTACATGTATTCTGTGCTGTGATTTTTCCTTGGAGGTATATAATTTTGTGAGTTCACTTTTGCTCAATTGCCAGTTGCCCCAAAATTTACTTGGGAACCTTGGTGACATTTGCATGAAATGTGTAAGAGCAGTGGTGGCATCACGGGTGCCACATACGTGGTCCCAGACCCATCTCCTGCGTTCAGCAGAGCAGTGGTGGCATCACGGGTGCCACATACGTGGTCCCAGACCCATCTCCTGCGTTCAGCAGAGCAGTGGTGGCATCAAGGGTGCCACATGCGAGGCCCCAGACCCGTCTCCTGTGTTCAGGAGAGTTTGTGCCTGCCCAGCAGGGCATGTCAGTGCACACGTGTGTTCTTCCTTCCTTGGCTGGGTATGGATCTGGGTGCTGGTGTAACTGAACTTTGAAGAAACGTACAGGTCAGGTTAGTGTGGGGTGGGCAGAGATGCAGGCAGCCTGCTGCTGTGCTCCACAGCGCAGAAGAGAGGCCTGAGAGAAGGGCTTGGTTTATTTATCCAGCAAGTGTTCTTGCTGGGTGCTAGGAACGTGCCTTTGCCCCAGGAGCCTCTGGTTGGGAGGGCAACATAGATGTGAAGTGACACGTGGGTTCTGACTTGAGGCTCGGGGTCCTGGGGGGGCTTCCTGAGGAGCCTTCACACTGTCAGAAGTGGTTGTCCAGGTGCAGGTGTCGGGAACACAGATACGGGTTCAGTGTGAGGTGGCAGGGGCACTGCAAGGGCCCGGCCTTCAGGGTGGCTGCAGTGTGACAGGGAGGGGCTGACAAAGTGAGAAACGGGAGCTGAAGAGGCCGGTGCCTGCCGGATGGGTGCTGGGTCAGCCCTGTGAACCACCATGAGGCTGGGCACAGGGACCCCTGAAGCATAGCCCGAGGGACCTGAGAGCAAGGGGCTCAGAGAGGTGCGGAGGTGCCTGCTCGAGAGAAGAAAGTGAGCTGAAGGGACTTTGAGGACACTTGGGGGTCGCAGGGGTGATGGGGCTGCCTGGAGGGTGGAGTCACACTAGCGGGTTTAATTTTCAGTTCTTCAGATTTTACTTCTCTTTCCACTGATTAAAATGTGTTTCTCTCATTAGTCTAATGCAAGTGGCAAACTCCGGAAGAAGAAAAAGAAACAGAAAGCTAAGAAAAGCAGCACGGGAGAAGCAGTGGTATGTGGACTGGGCCTGGGTCTGCTTCTCTCTCTGCCTGATGCCCTCTCCATTCTCTCTGCCTGTTTCTCAAGGTGGTACTGAAGGAGGTTTATTTAATATCCTTCCCGTTGGGAGTGTAACTAATGCCGGGCGCGGTGGCTCACGCCTGTAATCCCAGCACTTTGGGAGGCCGAGTTGGGTGGATCACAAGGTCAGGAGATCAAGGCCATCCTGGCTAATATGGTGAAACCCTGTCTCTCTTAAAAAAAAAAAAAAGGAATATAACTAATTAAAAGGTCAGAGAACAAGAAGAGGAAAAATTACTTGCTAAATTCTGCTTCCCGTTTCACCCTCTTTCCTTGGAGGGTCAGCGCTCTGCCCCGTGTGCATCTCTGTGGGAGTCTGTGGTCTGATGGGGGAGTCCCTTCTTGTTTTGCCGCTCCTGTGGCCCTGAGCACCTGCTGTCTGCCCTGACATCTGTCCCGTGCTTATGGGTTAATCAGATGGCGGCACAGCACCCACCACTGGAGCTCATCTGTCATCACAAAATGTATTTTCACTGTTGTCCTTCGTCCTCATCTGATTGTGTCCTGAGACCAGGGTGTGGCTTTGCTGCTGTTCGATTGGAGCCACAAGTCCCAACCCTGTTTACCTGAGGAGGTGAGCACACCTGTCAGGTGTGGAATGTGGTCTTTCAGCCCAGTTTTTTCTGGGGTCCTTCTGGTTCTGTGATTCTGTCCAAGCTGAGCTCTTCTTATGAAACATGTCTTCTTTTTTATGAATGTGTGGATGGTACACAGTGTTTGACCTATACTGTCCTTTGGAAGCTAATACAATGTAATAGGTCTCTTTAAATAAATAATTTTGTTATTGTTACAACATTTAAAATAATGTCCGTGTGGTGGTGAAGAGGTTGTTTTGGGGCTTTTAGGAAAACGGACTAGAAGATATTGATCGCATCCTAGAGAGGATTGAGGACAGCAGTGGTTTGAACCGTCCCGGCCCAGCTCCCCTGAGCTCCAGGAAGCACATTCTCTACGTGGAGCACAGGTGCGGCCCCACCCTTCTCTGTGGCTGCCACAGAGACTCCATGAGAAGAAAAGGTTCTCTAAGAAAAGGAAAAGAGAAAATTTAAAAAAAAGGAAAGAAAAAGAAAAGGAAAAGAAAATGTGATATCTTTATTAAAAAATAATACGAGTTTATTATTAATCATTTAGGAAATAGGCTGGGCCCAGTGGCTCATGCCTGTAATCCCAGCACTTTGGGAGGCCAAGGTGGGCAGATCACCTGCGGTCAGGAGTTTGAGACCAGCCTGGCCAACATGGTGAAACCCCATCTCTACTAAAACTACAAAAATTAGCTGGATGTGGTGGCAGTTGCCTGTAACCCCAGCTACTTGAGAGGCTGAGGCAGAATTGCTTGAACCTGGGAGGCAGAGATTGCAGTGAGCCGAGATTGAGATCACACCACTGCACTCCAGCCTGGATGACGGAGCAAGACTCTGTCTTCAAAAAAAAGGAAATAAGAACAAGGAGGCAAGGAAGTCATCCACGTTTCAGAGGACTTTTACCTTTACTTCTTACGTATCTTAGAAAGTTCCTTCTTTTTCTTTTTTTTTTTTGAGAGATAGGATCTCTCTGTAACCCAGGCTGGAGTGCAGTGATATGATCATAACTCACTGCAGCCTCGACCTCCTGGGCTCAGGAGATCGTCTTGCCTCAGCCTTCCAAAATGCTGGAATTACAGGTGTGAATCACCATGACTGGTCAAGAAGTTATTTCTTATCCTGTCATCTTTGGATGATTATTCATCTCCTGATCTTATAGATGCTTAATGAATCGCTGTCTCTACTTCAGAAATTATTGCCAGCTTTCAAAAAAAAAAAAAAAACTCCTAGAGTCAGTTAAGACACACGACTGTAGTCTCGGGGCGTGTGTGCGGCCCTAACGCAGCCTCAGAAGCTGATGTGTGTCCCACACAGTGGCTTTCTCTATGCAGCGGTCCCTGAAGTGCCCCTCACCACAGTGTCCAACTGCTTCGCTGCGGTGCCCACAGGGGTGAGGCCCCAACCATGGCTGGGTGGTGGTTTTAAAGAAAGTAGGCCTGGAGGTTACCTTTTAAGCCAAAAACCACTGTTGTCTTTCATTGATTATTAAGTGGCTTTCTAAAATTTTTGGAATCATTGTTGAACATAATTTCATTTTTCTTTCTAAAATTTTCAATTCCCTAGACACTTGAATCCAGACACAGAACTGAAACGGTATTTTGGTGCTCGGGCAGTCCTGGGGGAACAAAGGTAAGGTCCACAGGAAGCTGCACTCCCACAGCTGCTTCCTTCTCTCTTATACTCTTGAGGCGGGTGGTGTCTCTGAAGCCGGTTAGCGACCTTGGAGGGAGCATATTCAAAGCCAGAGTGCACACATTACCCTCAGAACTGGGATCTGAAAGGCGGTCCGCAGATGGTCTGTGCATGACCTTGTCTGTGACTGTGGGTTGTGGAGATGCCCAGGGTAGATGGGTTTCATCCCTCACAGTGTAAGGGGCCTTCTCTAGTGTAAGGTTCCAAATGCCCAAGCTGGAGTGCAGTGGTATGATCCCGGCTCACTGAAACCAGGTGCGGTGCTCACACCTGTAATCCCAGCTCTATGGGAGACCGAGGTGGGTGGATCACCTGAGGTCAGGAGTTCAACACCAGCCTGGGCAACATAGTGAACCCTGTCTCTACTGAAAATATAAAAATTAGCTGGGCACCTGTAGTTCCAGCTACTTGGGAGGCTGAGGCAGGAGAATCACTTGAACCCAGGAGGCCGAGGTTGCAGTGAGCTGAGATGATACCACTGTGCTTTTAAGCCTGGGAAATGCAGTGAGACTCTGTCTTAAAAAAAAAGGAGGGGGAGGTGGTTTGAAAAGCTGTTAAATTTTAAGATTCTGAGGTTCTGAGATAAGTCTCTTTCCCCCCCCCCCTTTTTATTTATTTATTTATTTTTTTTTTTGGAGACAGGGTCTCGTTATGTTGCCCAGGCTGGAGTGCAGTGGCTATTCACTGGCACGATCCCACTACTGATCAGCATGGGAGTTTTGACCTGCTCTGTTTTCAACCTGGGGCAGTTTACCTTTCCTTAAGCAGCTTGGTGGTCCCCTGCTCCCAGGAGGTCACCATATTGATGCCTACCTCAGTGAGGACACATGATTGGCACGGCACACCACAGCCCAGAACTCCTGGTCCCAGGCGACCCCCCCCCCACCTCAGCCTCCCGAGTAGCTAGGACTACAGGCATGCGCCACCATGCCCGGCTTCTTTTCGAGATGGATAGTTGCTCTGTTGCCCAGGCTGGAGCGCAGTGGTACGATTCCAGCTCACTGCAACCTCAGCCTCCCGGGTTCAAGTGATTCTCCTGCCTCAGCCTCCCTACTGGCTGGGATTACAGGTGCCCACCACATCCAGCTAATTTTTGTTTGTTTGTTTTTTGAGATGGAGTTTTGCTGTTGTTACCCAGACTGGAGTGTAATGGCACGATCTCAGCTCACTGCAACCTCCGCCTCCTGGGTTCAAGCAATTCTCCTGCCTCAGCCTCCCGAGTACCTGGGACTACAGGCGCTAAGTTTTGTATTTTTAGTAGAGACAGGGTTTCACCTGGTTGACCAGGATGGTCTCAATCTCTTGACCTCGTGATCCACCCGCCTCAGCCTCCCAAAGTGCTGGGATTATAGACGTGAGTCACCGCGCCCAGCCTGTTCGTTTGTTTTTTAAGCAGAGATGAGGTTTCACCATGTCGGCCAGGCTGGTCTCGAACTCCTGACCTCAGGTGATCTGTCCTTGGCCTCCCAAAGTTCTGGGATTCCAGGTGTTAGCCACCGCACCTGGCCGAGATAAGTTTCATCTACGTCCATTCAGTAGTTTTTAGCGGTGGGGCAGTGTGGCCGTAGGTGAGGATGGCTGGCTGCGATGAGGAATGCAGGGTCTTCCAGCTCCAGACAGGAGGAAGAGCAGGGGAGTCTGCTTCTGGGACTTTATGTAGGAGGTATGTTCTGCCTCTGGACTCTGCATTGGAAGGTCCAGGGACTTTGTCTTTTTTTTTTTAATATATAGTTTTCTTTGTGTAGAGTCAGGGTCTTGCTGGGTTGCCCAGTCTGGTTTTGAACTCCTGGCCTCAAGTGATCCTCCCACCTCAGCCTTCCCGATAGCTGGGACTACAGGCGTGTGCTACCGCTAATTTATTTTATTTTATTTTGTAAAGACAAGGTCTCACTTTGTTGCCCAGGCTGGTGTCAAACTCCTGGCTTCAAGTGATCCTTCTCCCTCGGCCTCCCAAAGTGCTGGGATTCCAGGCATGAGCCACCATGTCCAGCCAGACGTAATCTTACTATTTTCTTTTTTTGTGTTTTGTTTTGAAACAGAGTCTTGCTCTATCACCCAGGCCGGAGTGCAGTGGCACGATCTAGGCTCACTGCAATCTCCGCCTCCCGGGTGTAAGCAATTCCCTGCCTTAGCCTCCTGAGTGGCTGAGATTACAGACACCTGGCACCATGCCCTGCTAATTTTTGTATTTTTAGTAGAGATGGGGTTTCGCCATCTTGGCCAGGCTAGTCTCCATCTCTTGACCTCATAATCCACCCGCCTTGATCACCCACAGTGCTGGGATTTCAGGTGTGAGCCACCGTGCCTGGCCGAGCCTCTGTTTTATTGGACCATGGACAGGACTGCTGGTCTGGATCATGCCCTGGTTTTGCGAGTGCAGTTGTGTGATCTCAGCTCACTGCATCGTCCCGCTCCTGGGTTCAAGTGATTCTCCTGCCTCGCTTCCCAAGTAGTTGGGATCACAGGCCAATGCTACCATGCTTGGCTAATTTTTGTGTTTTTAGTAGACACGGGATTTCACCATGTTGCCCAGGCTGGTCTCGAACTTCTAACCTCAAGTGATCTGCCTGCCTTGGCCTCCCGAAGTGCTGGGATTACAGGTGTGAACCACCAGAGTCGGCCTAAGCGTTGTTGCTGCACTGTGGTATTCCTGGGTCATTCTTCACCCTAGTGTTGGCGTCTGCCCAGATGTTGGCTCAGTCCCCCGATGTCTGCCGGCATTTCTGTGAAGCTGCCCAAGAATGAGCATTCCGGTTTCGAGTCAGCTGCAGGCTGCCAGCGCCCTTGAGTAGAGTCAAGCAGCTTGCACGCAGGTTCCCGCCCAGGGTCCTCCTTCATCTTCTCACTCGAAATAGATGGTAGTGGGTTTAGAAATCCATCATCATGTGTAGACAAAAAGTGGGGTTGATGTTTTAACTTTTACCTTTTGATTATGGGTAAGATTGAGGATGTTTTTATATGCTCTTTGTTCACACTTACCGTGGATTTCTTTTTTTTATTATTTTTTCTCTTGAGACGGAGTCTCACTGTCGCCCAGGCTGGAGTGCAGTGGCACCATCTCAGCTCACTGCAGCCTCCACCTCCCCGGTTCAAGGGATTCTCCTGCCTCAGCCTCCCAAGTAGCTGGGACCGCAGGCACCTGACACCACGCCCAGCTAATTTTTGTATTTTTAGTAGAGACGGTTTCACTGTGTTGGCCAGGCTGGTCTCAAACTCCTGACTCCAAAAGTGCTGGGACTTTCCTTGGATTTCTAACAGGCTTTGCTTTATATTGTACTTTATATTTTTGCGTTAATTATAATGAGAAATATACTTGAAAATGCCTGCTTTGTCACCTGTATTTCCCTGGCCTGCGGGCTCCACCTCCCCACCCTTTGTTTGCATCCTCTTGGTCTGTCTTTGCCATTTCTTTTTTTTTTTTTTTTTGAGATGGAGTTTTGCTGTTGTTACCCAAACTGGAGTGCAATGGCACAATCTCGGCTCACCGCAACCTCCGCCTCCTGGGTTCAGGCAATTCTTCTGCTTCAGCCTCCCGAGTAGCTGGAATTACGGGCATGTACCACCATGCCCAGCTAATTTTTGTATTTTTAGTAGAGACGGGGTTTCACCATGTTGACCAGGATGGTCTCGATCTCTTGACCTCGTGATCCACCCGCCTCAGCCTCCCAAAGTGCTGGGATTATAGGCGTGAGCCACCGCGCCCGGCCTGTCTTTGCCATTTCTTTACATTTTTGTGTGGTCTTACTTCTGCAAATTATGATTATTAATAGTAATTAGTATAATTAATACTGATTTGTAAGAGTAGTGATAATAATTGCTTTTATTGTTTTTATAGTAGTAGTATACTTTTTGTTGTATTTATTTATTTGTTTTTGAGACTGAGTCTCGCTCTGTTGCCCGGGCTGAAGTGAAGTGGTGCGATCTCGGTTCACTGTACCCTCTGCCTCCCAGGGTCAAGCAGCTCTGCCCTAGCCTCCTGAGCGGCTGGGACTACAAGCACCTGCTACCCCACCCGGCTAATTTTTTGTATTTTAGTAGAGACGGAGTTTTACTCTGTTGGCCAGGATGCTCTCAATCTCCTGACCTTGTGATCTAACTGCCTCAGCCTCCCAAAGTGCTGGGATTACAGGTGTGAGCCACTGCGTCTGACCTGTTATATTTATTTCTTTAAAAATTTAAGTTCTACCAAAAGATTCCGATGGAGAAACCACAGTTACCTTTTTATTCATCCCACCACCCTTGTCCTGCTCCTCCAAGTCAAAGACCTGGCCTGCTTCTGTTTCTCCTTCTGGGGGTTCCCTCAGAAGCTCAGAATAACATAGGCTCTGCTTCTTCCTGGGTCCCTGACTTTCTACTGTCACAGCCGGGTCAACTCATTGTCCTAGCTCCTTGGACCACTCCTGCTGCTGAGTAGGCCTGCCAGCCTCCAGACTCCTGTCCCCTACCCGCTCTCAGCATCGCTCCAGGCTGCCTCGCTGGGTCTGTTCCGGAGGCTTCCTTACTTGTTTTGTGGGACTGCTCCCTGCAGGCCAGGCTGTCCCTGGAATTTTGTAGATGTGGCACCTGAGAGTGTTAAGGGCCAACTCCACTAGGCCTGGGCGTGTGCTGCAGGCAGGAGGAGGTGCTGGGGCCACCTTGACATCAGCAGGGCCCTCCACGCTGCAGTGGCTGCACTGTGGGACCCTCATGCCAGGGCAGGGATGGCCCTGTGGGAAGGGAGCTGTGCTGTGCCCGTGGTGACTGTGGGGCACAGCTGCTGCTGTCATTCCTGCTCTGGCTCCCACACCCCGCCTCTCCTGTTCCTGTGTGCCCAGGCAGAGTGCACTGAGCTCTGTTATTTGGGGGTATGTGCCACAGGGGTCAGGCAGACCCGAAGCACTGGTCAGATGGTATCTGAGCTGGGCAGGTAAGGAGACATGGAAAAGGCATGGAACTACTGTTACATCAGAGATGATTGGTTTCTTTTCTTTCTTTCTTTCGTTTTTTTTTTTTTTTTTTTTTTTTTGAGACGGAGTTTCGCTCACTACCCAGGCTGGAGTGCGATGGTGCGAACTCGGCTCACCACAACCTCTGCCTCCTGGGTTCAGGCAATTCTCCTGCCTCAGCCTCCCGAGTAGCTGGGATTACAGGCACGCACCACCATGCCCAGCTAATTTTTTGTATTTTTAGTAGAGACGGGGTTTCACCTTGTTGACCAGGATGGTCTCGATCTCTTGATCCACCCGCCTCGGCCTCCCAAAGTGCTGGGATTACAGGCGTGAGTCAGTGCGCCCGGCCTGATTGGTTTCTTAAGCTGAGTGACGGGCATGTGGATATTGGCATGTTATTCTCTTTCTTTTGTTTTTCTTCTTTTTTTCTTTTCATTTTGAGACAGGGTCTCATTCTTGCCCAGGCTGCAGTGCTGGGATCACAAGCACAGGCCATCACACCAGGCTAATTTTTAAAATCCTTTGTAGAAATGGGGTTTTGCTGTCTTGGCCAGGCCAGTCTTGATCTCCTGGGCTCAAGAAATCCTCCCATCTTGGCCTCTCAGAGTGCTGGGATTATAGGTGTGAGCCACTGTGCCCGGCCAGAATTTCCTTTTTCCTTTCTCCCTATGGAGCATTGGTGAACGGGCCTCCCTGCCCCACCCGCCCAGCAGCAGGTGCTGATGCTCATTTGCACCCTGTCCCTGTGCGTCCCCACCCTGCCTCACATGCCTTCTCTGTCCTCAGTGTTGCTTGTACAGTCCCTGCAGGGATCAGGCAGCCAAGCCCAGGTCCCCACACCACAGAAAGTAAAGCTGTGCCCATGTCCCGTTCTCCCCAGGCCACGGCAGAGACAGCGCGTATACCCCAAGTGCACGTGGCTGACGACCCCTAAGAGCACCTGGCCCCGGTACAGCAAACCAGGTGAGGGCCTGCAGAGGCTGTGGGGGGGAGTCTATACAGCAAACCAGGGGAGGGTCTGCAGAGGCTGCGGGCGGGGGGGTCTGTACAGCAAACCAGGTGAGGGCCTGCAGAGGCTGTGGCGGGGGGTTCTATACAGCAAACCAGGTGAGGGCCTGCAGAGGCTGTGGCGGGGGGGTCTATACAGCAAACCAGGTGAGGGCCTGCAGAGGCTGCGGGCGGGGGGGTCTATACAGCAAACCAGGGGAGGGTCTGCAGAGGCTGCGGGCGGGGGGGTCTATACAGCAAACCAGGTGAGGGCCTGCAGAGGCTGTGGGGGGGATCTGTACAGCAAACCAGGGAGGGTCTGCAGAGGCTGCTGGGGGGGGGGTCTGTACAGCAAACCAGGGGAGGGTCTGCAGAGGCTGCAGGGTGGTCTGCAGAGGCTGTGGGAGGTTCTGTACAGCAAACCAGGCGAGGGTCTGCAGAGGCTGTGGGGGGTTCTGTACAGCAAAACAGGGGAGGGTCTGCAGAGGCTTCGGGGGGGGGGTCTGTACAGCAAACCAGGGGAGGGTCTGCAGAGGCTGTGGGAGGTTCTGTACAGCAAACCAGGCGAGGGTCTGCAGAGGCTACGGGGGGGGTCTATACAGCAAACCAGGGGAGGGTCTGCAGAGGCTGCGGTAGGGTGGGGTCTGCAGAGGCTGCAGTCGGCGGGGGTGGGTCTGTGCACTGGCCAGTGCAGGCAGTGGGAGTGTCAGTACGTCTTGAGCCGAGTCTCTTCACCCTGGAGCACCGAGGTGCAGTGTGTGACTGTTTGTTACCACACTGAGGGCTTGCACGCTGAAGGCTGGCCTGGTGCCTCTGACACGGAGCCTCCCAGGCACAGCATTTGTGTTTGGTTATCTTTTAATGCAGGTTTTTCCTACCATGCTGCCATCGACCTTTTTTTTATAGAAGTGATCGAATTAATTTTAAACTGCACTATTTTGTATGTTGCAAACTAATAAGTGCCCATGATTTAAAGATAAATGGCAACAGGGCAGAAAGGCATGGAGTGCTATGTAGATGCAGAAAGGCGTGCAGTGCTATGTAGATGCAGAAAGGCGTGCAGTGCTATGTAGATGCAGAAAGGCGTGCAGTGCTATGTAGATGCAGAAAGGCGTGGAGTGCTATGTAGATGCAGAAAGGCGTGCAGTGCTGTGTAGATGCAGAAAGGCGTGGAGTGCTGTGTAGATGCAGAAAGGCGTGCAGTGCTGTGTAGATGCAGAAAGGCGTGCAGTGCTATATGTAGATGCAGAAAGGCGTGCAGTGCTATGTAGATGCAGAAAGGCGTGCAGTGCTGTGTAGATGCAGAAAGGCGTGGAGTGCTGTGTAGATGCAGAAAGGCGTGCAGTGCTGTGTAGATGCAGAAAGGCGTGCAGTGCTGTGTAGATGCAGAAAGGCGTGCAGTGCTGTGTAGATGCAGAAAGGCGTGCAGTGCTGTGTAGATGCAGAAAGGCGTGGAGTGCTGTGTAGATGCAGAAAGGCGTGCAGTGCTGTGTAGATGCAGAAAGGCGTGCAGTGCTGTGTAGATGCAGAAAGGCGTGCAGTGCTGTGTAGATGCAGAAAGGCGTGCAGTGCTGTGTAGATGCAGAAAGGCGTGCAGTGCTGTGTAGATGCAGAAAGGCGTGCAGTGCTGTGTAGATGCAGAAAGGCGTGCAGTGCTGTGTAGATGCAGAAAGGCGTGCAGTGCTGTGTAGATGCAGAAAGGCGTGCAGTGCTGTGTAGATGCAGAAAGGCGTGCAGTGCTGTGTAGATGCAGAAAGGCGTGCAGTGCTGTGTAGATGCAGAAAGGCGTGCAGTGCTGTGTAGATGCAGAAAGGCGTGCAGTGCTGTGTAGATGCAGAAAGGCGTGCAGTGCTGTGTAGATGCAGAAAGGCGTGCAGTGCTGTGTAGATGCAGAAAGGCGTGCAGTGCTGTGTAGATGCAGAAAGGCGTGCAGTGCTGTGTAGATGCAGAAAGGCGTGCAGTGCTGTGTAGATGCAGAAAGGCGTGCAGTGCTGTGTAGATGCAGAAAGGCGTGCAGTGCTGTGTAGATGCAGAAAGGCGTGCAGTGCTATATGTAGATGCAGAAAGGCGTGCAGTGCTATGTAGATGCAGAAAGGCGTGCAGTGCTATGTAGATGCAGAAAGGCATGGAGTGCTATGTAGATGCAGAAAGGCGTGCAGTGCTATGTAGATGCAGAAAGGCGTGCAGTGCTATGTAGACGCAGAAAGGCGTGCAGTGCTATGTAGACGCAGAAAGGCGTGCAGTGCTATGTAGACGCAGAAAGGCATGGAGTGCTATGTAGACGCAGAAAGGCGTGCAGTGCTGTGTAGACGCAGAAAGGCGTGCAGTGCTATGTAGACGCAGAAAGGCATGGAGTGCTATGTAGACGCAGAAAGGCATGGAGTGCTATGTAGACGCAGAAAGGCGTGCAGTGCTGTGTAGACGCAGAAAGGCGTGCAGTGCTGTGTAGACGCAGAAAGGCGTGGAGTGCTGTGTAGACGCAGAAAGGCGTGGAGTGCTATGTAGACGCAGAAAGGCGTGCAGTGCTATGTAGACGCAGAAAGGCGTGCAGTGCTATGTAGACGCAGAAAGGCGTGCAATGCTATGTAGACGCAGAAAGGCGTGGAGTGCTATGTAGACGCAGAAAGGCGTGGAGTGCTATGTAGACGCAGAAAGGCGTGGAGTGCTATGTAGACGCAGAAAGGCGTGCAGTGCTATGTAGACGCAGAAAGGCGTGCAGTGCTATGTAGATGCAGAAAGGCATGGAGTGCTATGCAGATGCAGAAAGGCGTGCAGTGCTGTGTAGATGCAGAAAGGCGTGCAGTGCTATATGTAGATGCCCTGTTGGCGTGCTTGGTTGCATGGTGTGGGGAAGCGTTAGGAGGCCCTCCACATTGGCCTCCACTCTGCAGTGGCTGCACTGTGGGGGCCCTCAGGGGCCAGGGCAGGGATGGCCCCGTGCGAAGAGAGCTGTGGTGTGCTCATGGTGACTGTGCTGTGCCCATGGCTGCTGCTGTCTGTACGGCCACTGCTCCCATGCCCTGCCTCTCCTGTGCCTGTGTCTGTGGAGGTGCCAGAGGTTGCCTACGCACATTCTATAAGGATGTGTCTAGGAGTGAGGCCTGTACTGTCACAGGGTGAACCCCACTGCTCGTGGCATCTTGTGTCCCCCAGGCCCCTTCACTTTCTAGCAGGAACCCCTGAGCACTGCAGACGGGGGCTCCATGAGTTCTTGCAGGACTCAGGCCTTGGGCAGAGCCATCAAGAAGGTGTCGCCACAGGGCACCTAATCCATGGAGTTCCTGGGAGGCAAAGTCAGACATGAGGAGCAGAGAGAGAGGGTGGCCATGGGTTCTAAAGTGCTGTGGCCATCTGTACCACAGCACTCCACCCCTGCCTTTTCACTGCCACCCTGGACATTCACCCCGATCAGACTTGGTCTGGGGGCAGGGTTTGGCCTGATCGGATCTGGTGACCTGTGGACTGTATGTGTCCTTGTCCCTGACACTCCCTCCAGGCCAGTGAGGCCTGAGCTGTATCTGAGTTCTGGGGGGAAACACGTCTTGATAGGAAACTAAAGCAGACAGGATACCGTCTGCTGGTATAGACCAGATGGTGGGTATTCTGGGAAGGTGCCTGGACCTGGGTGACATGCGTAAGTACACACTCAGGTCAAGTTGGTTGATACCGCGGAGGCCTTGTCAAGAACACCAAAAGGGTAGGGGGGCTGTTATGCCCCACAGAGGTGCCCACGGTTCCTGCTCCCAGCACACCCTCCTGAGCAGAGTGGGGGGCTGTGCTTGGAGCTGCTGTGCCGTACAAAGGCTCCCACAGTTTTAGCTCCTGGCACGACCTCCCTGAGCATTCTCCCCTCCCAGGTCTGTCCATGCGGCTGCTGGAATCGAAAAAAGGCCTGTCCTTGTTTGCGTTCGAGCACAGTGAGGAGTACCAGCAGGCGCAGCACAAGTTCCTGGTGGCCGTGGAGTCCATGGAGCCCAACAACATTGTGGTGTGTGGTCCTTACAGCCCGACAGGAGCAGGGCCGTGTAGCCACTGCTGCACTGGGCCATGTCCTTCCGTGGTAACTGTGGGAGGTGTGCGGCCTCCTGCCCTTTCCAATAGGAAGGGTGCCGGTCTCTGCAGGGCCATCAGGCCACGTGACCAGAGGGAGATGTGTTCAGAGGCTCTAGGCAAAGTCCACACTCCGAGGAGAGCCTGGAGTGCTGCTGTCACTGCCCGTTCTTCGAGACCCTTGCTGTGTGAGGCAGGCCTGGGACTTTGGGGCTTCTGGCTGCTGCTGTTGCCTCCTGCTGGCTCAGCACAGGGGAAGCAGCTCAGATTCCCTGCCTCCGGACGGCCCACCTGTCAGTGAAGGTGTCCTCTCCTCACAAACCCCCAGGCTTGGTGCCCCCGGGGCCCGAGATCCTAACCAACCCTGTCCTCAGAACCAGAAGGAGGTCGTCCTCCACGCTCTCTGGACACCCTCATCCCTGTCCATGCCACCTCAGGACTGTGGCTGGGGGCAAGGTGCTTTTGAGAGCTCACCGTCGTCTTCCCTGTGGGAAAAGCAGGCTGCTGGCTTCCACTCCTTATTGGGGCATAGTGGGGAGTTAGGTAGCCCCTGGCCTGGGTGTGTCAGGTTCTGAGTTCCTGCCTTAAATCAGATGCTTGGTTCAGCTTGGCAATAATAACTAGCATATTGTGAGTTGGGGGACGTTGTGACTGTCACCCCTGGAATTAATTTCCCCCAGTTTTTTTTCTTTGAGCCGGAATCTCATATTCTCACCTAAGCTAGAGTACGTTGGCGCAGTCACAGTCTGGGTTCAAGTAATTCTCCTGCCTCAGCCTCCCGAGTAACTAGGATTACAGGCCTGCACCACCCCACCCAACTAATTTTCGTATATTTAGTAGAGATCAGGTTTTGCCATGTTGGCCAGGCTGGTCTTGAACTCCTGACCTCAAGTGAACCTCCTGCCTCAGCCTCCCAAAGTGCTGGGATTATAGGCGAGAGCCACCGTGCCTGGCAGGTTGATCTTGAACTCCTGACCTCAAATGATCCTCCCGCCTCAGCCTCCCAAAGTGCTGGGATTACCGGCAAGAGCCACTGTGTCTGGCCTCCCCTGGTTTTAAATGCCTGAAAGATGGGCGTGCCTGGGAGCTGGTGCCTTGCTGGGTGTCTGTCCCCAAGAGGGCTGCGTGTGGCTTTCCTCCAGGCCTGTCCTCCCTTCTGGTAGGTTCTGCTCCAGACGAGCCCATATCACGTGGACTCACTCCTGCAGCTCAGCGATGCCTGCCGCTTTCAAGAGGATCAGGAGATGGCTCGAGACCTCATAGGTAAGACGGAGTCCCCCACCCTGTTCCCATCAGCTGTGGGAGCACCTCAAGCCATCAAGACAGATGCGGTGGTTTGAGATGTCAGAGGGTGCAGGGGGTTTGCCAGGATATCCATGACAGCTTTATTGAGGTACGACCTGCAGAGCACAAAATGCAGCCATTGAAAGCTACAGTTTGCTGGTGTTTAGTATATGCCAGAGTTGTGCAGCCGACACCATGATCAATTTCAGATCATTTTCATTACCTGCAAAAGAAGCCCCTCAGCTCCTTAGCTCTCCTCCTCCCAGCCCCTTGCACTGCTGTTCTCCTGTTCTGTGGATTTGCCTGTTCCGCACATATCACGTAAACAGAATCTTATACTATGTGGTCTTTTGTCTCTGGCTTTTATTTACCATAACATTTCCAAGGTTCATCCTCACCGTAACATGGATCAGAACCTCATTCGTTTTTGTGGCTGAATAATAATCCACTGTGTGGATAGACCACGTTTTGTGTATCTGTCATTAGTTGATTGCTGTCTGGGCTGTTTCCGCTTTTTGACTATTGTAAATAATAGTGCTGTTGTGAGCTTGCATATGCTGGTCTTATGTGGACACGTTTGTGCTGCACACGTGGATGCCTGGTTCTGACAGCATGTGACACGTTTGTGCTACACGCGTGGACACCTGATTCCGCCAGGATCTGACACGTTTGTGCTGCACGCGTGGACGCCTGATTCCGCCAGGATCTGACACGTTTGTGCTGCACGCGTGGACGCCTGATTCCATCAGGATGTGGCAGCAGTTGTGCCTCGTAGTGTTTAAGGTGTTTCTGTCTCAAGCTCACAAGTTCTGTGGTTGAAATAAACTCAGAGTGGCATCTGGGATGCCCAGGGTCATGTCTGCCCTCTAAGGGTCCAGGATTCTAGTTTTGTGATTTTGCTTCCAGACCTCTCCTCATTGTGCATCATCAGAGGAGGGGCCTTGGTTGCTGTGCGTGGCCGTAACACCCTCCCCTGGGGTTCTGTGCCCACAGAGAGAGCACTGTACAGTATGGAGTGTGCGTTCCACCCTTTGTTCAGCCTCACCAGCGGGGCTTGCCGGCTGGATTACCGCAGACCCGAGAACAGGTGAGTGCAGCCGGCCTGGGGGGCTTGCAGCTCTCCCCTCCCTTCTGCGAATGAGCTCAGAGGCAGTGCGTGACTGCCCATCAGGTTGGACCGGAGCCCACAGACCCAGGGTGACCCGCCTTCCTCTCTCTGGGCTCAAGGATGGAGAGATTGGATTGGCTCAGCCCACATTGACCTTTGTCTGTGGACGCGCCCGATGCTACTCTGGAGGTTGGAGTGGGAGGTCTGCAGAGCCCAGGAGTTCAAGTCCAAGCTGGGCACCATAGTGAGATCTCCATCTCTTAAAAAATAAATAAAAAGAAAATAAATTTGTTTGTGTTAGAAGTAAGCCTGGCTGGGCACAGTGATTCATGCCTATAATCCCAGCACTTTGGGAGGCCAAGATGAGAGGATTGCTTGAAAACCAGTCTGAGCACTGTGGCAAGATGCAGTCTCTACTGAACATTTTAAAAACGACCTAGGCCTGGTGGCACATGCCTGTGGCCCCAGCTGCTTGAGAGGCTGAGGGAGAGTATCGCTCAAGCATGCCCAGGAGGTCAAGGCTGCAGTGAGCTGAGGTCACGCCACTGTACTCCAGCCTGGGCACCGGAGTGAGACCTTGCCTTAAAAAAAAAAAAAAAAAAAAGAGGTGAGCCTGACAAACCACATCCCCACAATGGGCTCTGCAATTGCGTTTCCTTGTATGTTTGGCCAAAGAACCTGTCCCTGGCAAGTTTAGAAGCTTTACAGGTTTAACCTTCAATCAGTGAGCAACTCAGAGTGAGCCTGAGGCTCACTTCACTGCCCTGAGCGGCCACACGTGTGGCACTCTCTTCTTCGAGATACTTGTGCTCCTAAAGCCATCCATCTGCCATCAGCCCTCATTGGTCAGACCTGGACCAGCTACCACTAGGCCCCCCCACAGCCTGTCCTGTGGGCACTTGTGGCGAGGACCAGCCTCTGTCCATTGTCCTATGTGTGGGCCACCCTCTGTCCACTGCCCTGTGTGTGGACCAGCCTCTCTCCACTGTCCTGTGTGTCCTATGTGTGGACAGCCTCTGTCCGCTGTCCTGTGTGTCCTGTGTGTGGACCAGCCTCTGTCCGCTGCCCTGTGTGTGGACCAGCCTCTCTCTGTCCACTGTCCTATGTGTCCTGTGTGTGGACCAGCCTCTGTCCACTGTCCTGTGTGTGGACCAGCCTCTGTCCACTGCCCTTTGTGTCCTGTGTGTGGATCAGCCTCTGTCCACTGCCCTATGTGTCCTGTGTGTGGACCAGCCTCTGTCCGCTGTCCTGTGTGTGGACCAGCCTCTGTCCACTGTCCTGAGTGTGGATCAGCCTGTCCACTGTCCTGTGTGTCCTATGTGTGGACTAGCCTCTGTCCACTATCCTGTGTGTCCTGTGTGTGGACCAGCCTCTGTCCACTGTCCTGTGTGTGGATCAGCCTGTCTACCATCCTGTGTGCCCTGTGTGTGGACCAGCCTGTGTCCACCGTCCTGTGTGTTGATCAGCCTGTCCACTATCCTGTGTGTCCTGTGTGTGGACCAGTCTCTATCCACTGCCCTGTGTGTCCTGTGTGAGGATCAGCCTCTGTCCACTGTCCTGTGTGTGGACCAACCTCTGTCCAGTGTCCTGTGTGTGGACCAACCTCTGTCCACTGTCCTGTGTGTCCTGTGTATGGACCAGCCTCTGTCCACTGTCCTATGTGTCCTGTGTGTGGACCAGCCTCTGTCCACTGCCCTGTGTGTCCTGTGAGGATCAGCCTCTGTCCACTGTCCTGTGTGTGGACCAACCTCTGTCCACTGTCCTGTGTGTCCTGTGTATGGACCAGCCTCTGTCCACTGTTCTATGTGTCCTATGTGTGGACCAGCCTGTCCGCTGTCCTGACTCTCCTGTGTGCAGCGCCAGGTTTCTCTGGCCACCCTGGATGTCGCCAGTGTGCGATCCACTCCTACCCTCTCGGCCCTCCTGGCAAGCCAACGTCCATCCACCCCTGCTGCAGATTGTCCACATTGTGTGCTGGGTCTGAATTTCCTCCACTGGTTTTTTTCTTTTCTTTTTTTTTTTTTTGAGACAGTTTTGTTCTGTCCCCAGGCTGGAGTGCAGTGATGTGATCTCGGCTCACTCCATCTTCTGCCTTCTGGGTTCAAGCAGTTCTCCTGCCTCAACCTTCTGAGTAGCTGGGATTACAGGTGCCCACCACCTGTGCCTGGCTGATTTTTGTATTTTTAGTGGAGACGGGGTTTCACTATCTTGGCCAGGATGGTCTCCCTCTCTTGACCTTGTGATCCACCTACCTCAGCCTCCCAAAGTGCTGGGATTATAGGTGTGAGCCACCTCACCCGGCCTGGTTTTCTTTATGTTAGTTTTGTCTCTTCCAATGAAATTATTAGTACTTTGAGGTAGATTATAAAATACTAATATTTCCAGGCATAAAAGGGACAGTGGGCTGTTGACAGAAGTAGCAGCCCAGCAGGATCTGGATGCAGAAGTCACAGGCTCCATGTGTCCATCCTGAGTGCTGTGAGCTACTGTTGAGATTGGAGAATAAATTAAGATCTAATTTGCCATAATGTAGCAGGAGATTTTAACTCTCCCCTCAAATTATAAATAGTCAACAAGAAACAAGATAAAGATTTCAAAGAGGTTTGATTTTCAGTATGCAGATTTGTGTGTAACTCTGTAAAGGACAAGGAGAGTGCTCACCTCTCCAGACACGGATCGCTGTGTGCTGGGCACGTAGGAAGTGCCAGCAGAACCCAGAGAGCAGAACAGCACCCTTGGCACTTCGTGGAGGGCAGGGTGGAGCGGGTACTGGCCGCAGCACTGTCCACAGGGCTTTCTGCTTTGTGTTGCTCTAATTCATGTGGAACTTTTGTGGATCTAGGAGCTTCTACCTGGCCCTCTACAAGCAGATGAGCTTCCTGGAGAAGCGAGGCTGCCCACGCACCGCACTGGAGTACTGCAAGCTCATCCTCAGGTGAGTGGCTGCTCCACCACACCTGCTTGTGCTCCCCACCTTGGCTGCAGGCCTATTCCCTGCCTAGTGGTTGCTGGTTCTCCTTCGCTCTGCTCCCTACGCTACCTCCTCACCACTCCCAGCCTGACAGCGCCCCGTTGTCCTTCACTCTGATCCCTGCTCTGCCTCCGGCCCACTCCCAGCCTGATGGCGCCCCATTGTCCTTCGCTCTGCTCCCTGCTCTGCTTCCGGCCCACTCCCAGACTGACAGCGCCCCGTTCTCCTTCTCTGTGCTCCCTGCGTTGCCTCCGGAAGTCTCGAGCCGGATGAGGACCCCCTCTGCATGCTGCTGCTCATTGACCACCTGGCCTTGCGGGCCCGGAACTACGAGTATCTGATCCGCCTCTTCCAGGAGTGGGAGGTAGGTGGTAGCCTGGTGGGTCCCTGGGGGGACAGACATCTACTTCCGTTTTCCTGGTTTGGTGTCTGTGTGCTCAAGGGATAGTTTGGGGATAAAATGGTAATTGTTCAAGAATAGAACCACATCCTCCTGCCTTTTTTGTCTCCCTTGAGTGTCTGCGGAGTGGAATCTGGTTTTCGTAGGGACATTACAGCAGCCTTATGTCAGATCCTCAAATGTGTGTACACCTGCCTGCTACAATCCTGGTGCTAGTAATGAGAAAGTGGCAGCACCTGAGCTCCTCGTGGGTGGGGGGGGCAGGAAGAGGCAGCCGAGAGGCAGAGGGAGGGTTGCCCCCAGCACAGCCTGTCCCAGGGGAGTGACTACAGCAAGAGAGACCCCCAACTCTGCCACCAGGAACAGACAGGTTTTGGAGTGATAATTTAGTTGTATTGGGTTAGGTATCATGTATTAAAGTTAATTTCACCTGTTTTCTCTTTAACGCAGCTCCTAGAAAGTTTAAACTGACCCCTGGGCTCCCATTATGTTCCTCTGGGTGCCACTTACCTGGAAGGACACATGAGACTTTGTCATGCAGGGCCCGGGACTGGGGAGCAGGTGATGACAGCTCTTGACCTTCTCTTTTTCTGTGTTGAATTTTTTTGTCATGCTGACCTCCAGCAGGGCCCAGGGCTGGGGAGTAGGCAATAGCAGCTCTTACCTTCTCTGATTGTGTTGAATTTTTTCATAGCACATGGTCGTGCCTAATGAAAGTGGGTAAGTTACTTTGAACTGTTTAGCATTTGGCATCATTGGCCAGGGAATCTCACCTCTGGGAATGTGGTTTATAGAAATCCCTGGATCTCACAAAAAGTAGGTGCAGGGAAACCTCAGGGAATCCCCCAAAATGGGGCCACAGGAGAATGTGGATCATGGTGTTTAAGGTCTGTGAGTCTGGGATCCTATTTTGATAGAAGAAGAGGCAGTGAGTCGCATGTCTGAGGTGTGTGGCTTCTGCTGAGAAAGGCAGAAGTGCTCACGGTGGTAGGCTGCTCTCGTCTTCGCTGGTTCGTGCTTTGTGCATTTTTCACATTGAGAGCACTGACTGCTCAGCTTCAAAGAGGAGCCCCTGTGGCAGGTGGGGTCCTCCCTCCCTGTAGCCCCCTTACTCACGCTCCGTGACTCCTCAGGCCCTCCGTATCCTCTCTCTTCTGCGTGTGGAAATTCCCCCAGGTGGGTGTGTAAGTTATCTTTTTTTTTTTTTTTGAGATGGAGTTTTGCTCGTTACCCAGGCTGGAGTGCAATGGCGCGATCTCGGCTCACTGCAGCCTCCACCTCCTGGGTTCAGGCAATTCTTCTGCCTCAGCCTCCTGAGTAGCTGGGATTACAGGCACGCGCCACCATGCCCAGCTAATTTTTTGTATTTTTGTAGAGACAGGGTTTCACCATGTTGACCAGGATGGTCTCAATCTCTTGACCTCGTGATCCACCCGCCTTGGTCTCCCAAAGTGCTGGGATTACAGGCGTGAGCCACCGCGGCCGGCCTGTCTTTTTACTAAGTTGAGAAGAGGCCCTCGCATTGCCGGCAGAATCTACCTACTCCTGGCAGGGCTCATGGTGGCATCAGAGCATCTGCCAACTCACATACTTTGTCTTTTTGACTTGAGGCTCCACTCTGTTTCTGTGTCTCTTGTAGGCTCATCGGAACCTGTCGCAACTCCCAAATTTTGCCTTCTCTGTTCCACTGGCGTACTTCCTGCTGAGCCAGCAGACAGACCTCCCTGAGCATGAGCAGAGCTCCGCCAGGGAGAAGGCCTCGCTCTGGATACAGCAGGCGCTCACCATGTTCCCTGGAGGTGAGTGCTGCATCTTGCTGGGGGGCGGGTGTGTCCTGTCAGCCATGGTGGTGGGGGCTGGTGTTCCTGGTGGTGGAGGCCAGGTCCCTGACCTCCCCTGCACCTTCAGAAATGTACATTCTTTGGTAGGGCCTGCAAACCTGCCCTACCAAACTTGAAAGATGGTTGGTCCATCTGGGAACCTGCTGCGTGCCATGCCAGCCACGAGGAGGTGGCAGCCATCCTACCCTGTTGGGCTGTGTAGTAGGGTGCAGAGACGGGACTGGCTGGGAAGTGCTAGACACGGATTGTGTCAGTGCTGGGGAGGAGAACAGAGGGAGTGTCGGAGGTGCCGAGGCGTGGCGGAGAGGGTTGTGCTGAGCATCAAGCTGGGATGTGCAGTGGAGGCCGGTCCTGCTCAGACACACTCAGCCTGCACAGCCCCTGAGCCCCGACTGCGTCTGGGTGTTCTCCATCCGCACAAATGGGGTGGGCACAGTGGGGCTGACCCCTGCCAGGCAGCATGTGTGACATCTCTTTTTAAGACGGGGCTCCTCTGAGGGGCTGTGGGGGCTGAGCATTATTTGCCTGCAGCTGATGTGACACGTGGCATGACCACTCACCTTCTGTTAGCACGTCCTGGGAACAGCAGCACCTCATTGGTTCTGTGGATTTCTAGAGCTTTGTCTGGGCCCCAGGGAAGCCCACAGCATGGGTTTGGGCAGCTTCCAGCACAGGCAGAGAAATGTGCCAACCAGAGGGGCCTGGCAAGCCCTCGGTCTGTTCACTGACCCCAAAAGTTTCATCTGTGCCTAAGAAGCACCTTTGTCCTCCTCTGCAGCCCTGTGCGGCGTCCCTCAGTGTAGCAGTGTCGGAACGGGGTGGAGGCCGTGTGCTGTGTGACAGAGCTGTAGTGTCAGCACCTGCTTTGAAGGCAGGCAGGCTCCCAAGAAGCCACCGCCACTTATCTCAGAGCACTGGACATCACTGCAGGCATGGGTGGGACAGGCTCTGCCCTGGGGGCCCATGCTCCCACATGGCGGCCTAGACCTCAACCCAGTCCTGTGGTGCTAGCCCTTCTACTGGGCACAGGTGGCCTCTGCTCCCACCAGCCTGCCATGGGGTCTGGACTTTGTGATTAGAACCAGCCCCACATGTGTGGAGGGTGGTGGGTGAGTCTTCCTCAGATGCAGATGGGGGTGCTGGGAGGCTCCTGGGGGCTGGTGTGAGGAGACCCCCGCCTCAGAACCTGGGCACCCCAGCAGCAGCAACTCAGAGTGCCAGCCAGAAGCAAGTCGCTGGCCCTGCACGCTCCTCCATCTGAAAGCACTCAGCTGTGTCTGTGACAAAGACCTTACCGTGTCCCTTACCACCTTGGGGGCTGGGAGTGGCTGGGTTGTGGGCCTAGGGGTCCCACAGAGCCTCTGCTTCTCCCACAGTCCTCCTGCCCCTGCTCGAGTACTGCAGCGTGCGGCCCGATGCCACTGTGTCCACTCATCCCTTCTTTGGACCCAATGCTGAGATAAGGTAAAGAGTGGTGGGTGCCCGTCTGTGGGGTGTCTGTCTGTGGGATGTGGCTGTGGGTTGATCATCTGTGGGGTACCCATTTGTACGGTGGCTGTGGGGCTCATCGTCTGTGGGGTACCCCTCTGTAGTGTACCCATCTGCGAGGTTATTGTGGGGTATCTGGGGTGCCCATCTGTGGGGGTACCCGTCTGTGGTGTGTCTGTGGGGTGAAGGTCTGTGCCCATCTCTGGGGTGCCCATCTGTGGGGTGGTCATCTGTGGGATGACTGTGGGGTACCCATCTGTGAGGTGTCTGTGGAGTGCCCATCTGTGGGGTATCTATGGGGTACTTGTCTCTGGGGTGTCTGTCTCTGGGGTGCCAATCCGTGGGGTGATTGTGGGGTATCTGTGGGGTGTCTTTCTGTGTGGTGATCATCTGTGGGGTATCCTCCTGTGGGATGCCTGTTTGTGGGGTATCTGCCTCTGGGGTATCCGTCTGTGGGGTACCCATCTGTGGGGTGTCTCTATGGGGTGTCTGGGATGCCCATTCGTGGGGTGATCGTCTGTGGGGTGTCCATCTATGGGGTGTCTGTGGGGTGCCCATCTGTGGGGGTAATTGCTGGGTGTCCATCTGTGGGGTGTCTGTATGGTGATTGTGGCGTACCCATCTATGGGGTACCTGTCTGTGGGGTGTGTGGTGATCATCTGTGGGGTACCCATCTGTGGGGTGTCTGTGGGGTATCCATCTGTGGGGTGTCCACCTGGAGGTGTCTTTGGGGTGATCATCTATGGTATGCCCATCTGTGGGGTATTTGTCTCTGGGGTATCTGTGGGATGCCCATCTGTGGGGTGATCGCCTATGGGGTACTCGTCTGTGGGTTATCTGTGCGGTGCCTGTCTGTGGGGTGATCATCTGTAGGGTGTCTGTGTGGTGTCCATCTGTCTGTGGGGTATCCATCTGTGGAGTACCTGTCTGAGGGGGTGCCCATCTATGGGGTGTCTGTGGGTTCGGAGCCTGGGAGCCATTTTCACTCATCCTGAGAGGCCTTGAGGGACCTCCTCCCAGCAGCAGGAGGGACTGTGATAGGGACCACGGGGACTTTCATCCCACCTGGGAGGGCTCTGGAGCCCTCATTGATGTGTGGAAAAGCCCCAGTGGGGCAGGTGAGCAGCCTTCAGCTTAAAACCCAGGCTCATAAAGAGGGTACTGGGCATGGTGGCATACACCTGTAATCCCAGTGTTTTGGGAGGCTGAGGTGGAAGGTTGGCTTGGGCCTAGGAGGTCGAAGCTGCAATGAGCTGTTTATGCTCCTGCACTTCAGCCTGGGTGACAGAGCAAGACCTAGTCTCAAAAAAATAATGAAGAGGGAGCAAGCACAGGAGAAAGTACCACAGAATCCTCCCCTGGGAGCCAGTGTGGCCTCCACATCCTCCCCCAGCCCTCGGGGGTCAGTGTGACCTCCAGGTCCCCCCCCCAGCCCCCGGGAGCCAGTGTGACCTCCAGGTCCCCCACCAGCCCGCAGGAGCCAGTGTGGCCTCCAGGTCCTCCCCCAGCCCTCGGGGGTCAGTGTGGCCTCCACATCCTCCCCCAGCCCTCGGGGGTCAATGTGACCTCCACATCTTCCCCCAGAGCCAGTGTGGCCTCCACGTCCTCCCCCAGCCCTCGGGAGTCAGTGTTACCTCCAGGTCCTTCCCCAGCCCTCGGGGGCCAGTGTGACCTCCACGTCCTCCCCCAGAGCCAGTGTGGCCTCCATGTCCTCCCCCAGCCCTCGGGAGTCAGTGTGACCTCCGGGTCCTCCCCCAGCCCTCGGGGGCCAGTGTGACCTCCACATTCTCCCCCAGCCCTCAGGAGTCCGTTTGACCTCCACATCCTCCCCCAGAGCCAGTGTGACCTCCACATCCTCCCCCAGCCCTCGGGGGTCAGTATGACTTCCAGGTCCTCCCCCAGAGCCAGTGTGGCCTCCAGGTCCTCCTCCAGTCCTCGGGGGTCAGTGTGACCTCCAGGGCCGCCCCCAGCAGTCAGGAGCCAGTGTGACTTCCAGGTCCACCCCCAGCCCTCAGGAGCCAATGTGGCGTCCAGGGCTTGCCCTGTGTGCCCACAGATGGGCTTAACCTGGTTATATTTTCACATTTCTGTGGAGTCAGTTGTGCTTCCTAAAGAACACAGACAGTGTGTTAGAGGCCGTGGCACATACTTGTGTGCCCCAGCCCCACGCTCTTGGTTCCAGCAGCCCACAGGGCCCTCCCTGCACCTCTGGTCTGCCCCTGGGGCTCTGCTGGCCTGGAAAGTGTTCTGCTCACAGACCTTGCTCTCCTCCAGCCAGCCCCCTGCCCTGAGCCAGCTGGTGAGCCTGTATCTCGGGAGGTCACACTTTCTCTGGAAAGAGCCCACCACCATGAGCTGGCTGGAGGAGAACGTCCACAGGGTGCTTCAGGCAGTGGACGCCGGAGACCCTGCAGTGGAAGCCTGCGAGCACAGGTGAGCTAAGGGCTTGCACAGGGGGCAGCCATGCCACTCCCCCTCCTCAGGGGCTCTCATCCCAGACACAGGGACCTCAGATTCGGGAGGCAAGGAGAGCTGTGAGCAGCTTGGCCTCCCCTGCAGTGTGGCCAGCCATGGGGCCCATGTGGAGCCTAACAGGGAGCACAGCCCTGTCCTGTCCCAGAGGCTTCCTGGGAGGCAGCTGTGGGCATCAGCACAGGTCACAAATTGGCGTTTCCGGTGCTTAGGGCTGGAGTGGTAGCTTCTGGTTGTGTGGTGTTTCCACATCAGCTGGGGTGCTGATGAGTCTCTCACACCAGCATGTTTGGGGTAAATAAATCTGGCAGAGTTGAGAGCGAGTCTTCTGTCCTGCATGTGAGCGTGTCAGAGGCTTGGACCCTGGTGCTCTGCATTTGGCAGGCAGCCTCTTGCCTGTCCTTGTCTGGTGTGCCTGTGCCCTCGGCCCTATGCTAGTTCGGTGTGTCAGCACCGTGATTCTGCCCACCATTGTGGCCAGGCTCAGTGTGGACCACGTGGGAGTGGCAGCCATTTGCACCTCCACAGTCAAGTCTGTGTGCCTCGGATGTGAGGCTGTGCCGGGGGTGCCTAAGAGGTGCCAGTGCCCCAGCCGTTGGCAGTTGTGAGCCCCATCCGTGTGTCTGTGTTCCCCACTGCACCGTGTGTCTGTGTTCCCCAATGCACCAGACATTTCTTTCTTGCTCTGTTTTTTGAGACGAAGTCTCAGTCTGTTGCCCAGGCTGGAGTGCATTGGTGCATTCTCGGCTCACTGCAACCTCTGCCTCCAGGTTCAAGTGATTCCCCTGAGTATCTGGGACTACAGGTGCATTTCACCATGACTGGCTACTTTTTGTATTTTTAGTAGAGACAAGGTGTCACCATGTTGGCCAAGATGGTCTCGATCTCTTGACCTCATGTGATCTGCCCACCTCGGCCTCCCAAAGTGCTGGGATTACAGGTGTGAGCCACTGTGCCCAGGCTGGACCAGACATTTCTCGTGGATAGGAAAGCATTTTGTTCCCTGTGCTGCCTTCCCAGAGTGACTTCAAGCAGGGACCAGTGCCTGTGCCTGTAGCAGTGACAGTGGTGACCTGCCCAGGTGTCTTTTCATGTAGACAAACTCAGTGAATTCCCACAAGAAGCCACTGGCCACGGCTCCAATCAGTCTTGTTTTTTGATTGGAGAGACTGAGTCAGGCCGTGCAGCTGGGATTGGCCCCTAAGAGCCTCCCTCACTGCAGGCCAGGGACCAGCTGTGCTGCCTCTGCTTGAGAAGTGAAATGTGCAGTTTTTGGCGCCACTAGAAATGCAGAGCAGTGGCAAGTGCTGGGCAGGGGTGGGGCGGGGCCTGGCGCTGTGGCCGTCACCATTTCCTCTGCTGTGCCGTGATTCTCCCGGGCCTCAGGCGGAAGCTGCTCTACCAGCGCGCACCCAGGAATATCCAGCGCCACGTGGTCCTGTCTGAGATCAAGGAAGCCGTTGCTGCCCTGCCCCCGGTAAGGAGAGGCTGAAATGGGAGCTTTGTGTAAGCCAGTCACATGCACTGCCCCTGTGTCTCCTGGCAGCCCACACGCAGGCGTGCGCGGTGCGAGCCCCTCACAGCCCAGCTCTGCCACGGCAGGGGCTCCTCCCTTCCTGGCAGCTGGGGTTCAGAGGCTTGGTTATGAGAGAGAAATCCTTTGGGGCTGAGCACAAGCTGAGTAGTCACCTTGGTGAGCTGCTCCGTCCGTGGTTGGGACTGCGGGTGCAGCTGTGGGGGCTGCTCTGTAGTCCGTGGGCTATAGTCCTGCTCTGCCCTCCTGTGCTGGAGGTTCTGTTTCTGACTCAAAACCTAAAGACTTTATACCGTTGTTAAGGAATAAGACAGAATGAGTGAGAAACCAGCAAGTCAGCGGGTCACAGGCCCAGGGGCCGTCGCTGAGGACAGCTTAGCACCTCCTGGTTTAATTTTGGCTGCTCTGCAGATCCTGGTGACTGGCATGGCTGGCCTTGTCTGGGGCTGTGAGCTTCTGACTCACATCACTAGAGGGGCTGAGGGGCGGGGCAGGGAGTGCACCAGGAGCTGTGTGACCCTCGGGTGGCCCAGGGTCCCCGTAGCCTGCAGTTGCTGAAGTGAGAGCTTCTGACCTGTGGTGAAGATCTTGGCAGGCGTGAGCAGCACGTGACCCCCTTCCTTTCCCACCACACACCCCCGTGAGAAGGGCAGACGCTGTGCCGGTGCACCTCCACTCCTGTGAGTGTCCTGGTGGCAGAAGGGCGGTCCCACCCTCACCCAAAGTTTGTTGGCACAAAAAGCACAGCCGTTTCTGTCAGACTCTGTGGCTGTCTCTCAGCAGATGCGCCCAGTCCTTGCTGGAGCCGACTGCAGGACTCTGCTGGGAGAGGCAGAGGCCCCCGGCAGCATCTGTAGCATCTTCGTTTTGTGTCCCTTTCTGAAGGACGTGACCACGCAGTCTGTGATGGGGTTTGACCCTCTGCCTCCTGCGGACACCATCTACTCCTACGTCAGGCCCGAGAGGTACCTCCCACCTCCCCATTCACTCCTTGGCTTGTGCAGCTAAGTAAGGTCAGTACTTCGGGGCTCACAGGGACTGGCTGCCAGCTTGGGATAGGTGCTAAGAGTTGGGGCACATGGTCAGGCAGGCCTTTCCCTTAACAGGAAGGGGGGAGGGACAGTGTAATCTGGGGTCACAGCTCTGCCTTTGCAGCCACGTTGTTTCTCGTCTCCTTCGGATGCACAGGTGCCTGCGTGTCAGGCTCTATAGCAGGTGTGAGTAACACAGCGGAAGCAGGTGTGCAGTGATGTGGGGAAAACACGTGAATTTTAGGATCTAGAAATAAATGTAAAATCAAAACCGCACCATCCTGGCCAATATGGCGAAACCCTATCTCTATTAAAAATACAAAACTTAGCCGGGCATAGTGATATGCATCTGTAGTCCCAGCTACTTGGAAGGCTGAGGCAGGAGAATCACTTGAAATCTGGGAGGCAGAGGTTGCAGTGAGCCAGGATTGCACCACTGTACTTCAGCCTGGGTGCCAGCGTGACTCCATCTAAAAAAAAACAGCAAAAACTGTAGTAAGGAAGGAGGGCTTGGTGTGCTGAGACACAGAAGAATGTGGCTTCCCCAGGCTCAGCGGGGAGAGGGGTATTCATGTTCCACAGCAGAGTTGCTATGTGCCAAGGCCTGTGCCAGGAGCAGCGCATACAGCCCCGTGGCCGGGCCGGGGAGCAGGCTGCTGGTGTGTGTCTGGGGTGGCTTCAGCATCTGGGTCATTGAAAGGCTTTTTCCCTTTCCTGTGGCCTTGAGAGCACTTGCCTTACTGAGGGCCTGTCACCCACGCAGCGGCTGTGATGAATGATCTCTGCAGGAGCGGGTTGGTAGCACTGAGGAATTGCAGTATGTGGCTGCCTCACAGGTTTGTCCTGTTCCCCTCTGTGGACCACAGTGTCTCGGCCTTCCCAGAGCTGCTTAGGCCTGGGCTTTTCGGCATCCTGTGGAGTGATGCCCCCAGGAGGGTGTCCACGTGACACAGGATCTTCACGCTTCCGCTTTCCTGTCAGGAGTCTGCTCTCAAATCCTCAGTGCTGAAGGAGGCATTGAAACTACAGCTTTTCCAAGCAGGGCACCTGTGCGGTGGCAGATGGCGGCCACGAGAGCCTTGCTGTGCACTCCGTGTCTGTCTCGGCTGAGTTGGTCCCCCTTGTCCTGTTCCCACTGTCGGCAGCCTCACCCCAAGCTGATGAGGAAGCCTCACTGCCCACCCAGGGCCTGATCTCTGCTTTGTGGGAATCCAGGGCCTGTCCTCAGCTATGGTGCTCTGCCCGTGGGTGGGGCCCCTCCATGTCCCTGCAGGGAGGCAGCTGGCAGGCAGCCCTAGGAGTTGGATTGGGTCCCATTTCATTTCTGACTTTTTTTTTCTTTCAGACTAAGTCCCATCAGCCGTGGAAACACGATTGCACTCTTCTTCCGGTCCCTGTTGCCAAATTATACCGCGGAGGTAGGTTGGGCTGGTCCCAGATACTGCCTGCCTGGTGGGTGTGGGCACATAGGTTCCAGTGCAAGTATCTGGAGCCCTCGAGCCGGGCCTGCTCGGATGGGAGCAGCCAGGCCTGATGCAGAGCCAGCCGGGCTTGATCCTGACCCCACTGTCTGGGCCTGGCTTGGCCTAGACGCTACTTTTGGTTTTGAGAGCTTCCTCTCCTCACAGGGACCTGGTGAGGCTTCAGGGTCTGACGCTGGGGCAAGGGCCACCTGGGGCTCCACGGTGCCTTCCTGCCGGGGCCCTGGACTCCGAGTCCCAGCATGGACGCCCCCTGCTTAGACGTGTCCCGTTGCTGCAGGGGGAGAGACCCGAGGAAGGAGTGGCTGGGGGTCTGAACCGCAACCAGGGCCTCAACAGGCTGATGCTGGCTGTGCGCGACATGATGGCCAACTTCCACCTCAACGACGTAGAGGCGCCCCACGAGGACGACGCAGAGGGGGAGGGGGAGTGGGACTGAGCGTCCGCAGAGCGCCTGGAAGCTGTACACTTACGTTCCTGATTTCTGTGCTGGTCGGAATTGGCCAGCTCCCTGAAGTAGAGATGCTGACTGTACTGCCGGCCTGGTCCGCTGTGTCTCCTATAAATGTAAATGGGTCATGCTCTGCTGTCCACACGCTCTTCTTTGCCAGGCACTGAGTGTGTCCAGTGCCCTCAGATTCCAATCACTCAGTCCAGTCTCTTCCCAGTGGCCTGTGAGTGAGGCGGGGCCCAGGCCACGTGCTTCCTCTGCTCCCAGAATCTGGGACATGGTGGAGAAGGGGACCCACAGTGTCTTCAGGGCAAGTCCCTGCTGAACGCCAGGGCCCTGGGGCTGGTCCTCCTCAGCCTGCTCTGGGTTCATGGACAGCTGCATTCCTTGTTGGTAGAGGGTTTCAGGGTGGGACTGGAGCAGGGAGTCCCCTACGCTGCAGCCTGCCTTCAGTCTTGTTCCTCCAAGCCGATGGGAGCTGATGTGCTGCGGTCCTCTGGCTGGACGCCACCATCTGTGGAGTCTGAGACATCTTTTTTTTTTTTTTTTTGGAGACGGAGTCTTGCTCTGTCACTGGGCTGGAGTGCAGTGGCGCCATCTCGGCTTACTACATCCTCCAGCTCCTGGGTTCAAGCAATTCTGCCTCTGCCTCTGCCTCCCAAGTAGCTGGGACTACAGGCGCATGCCACGACACTCACCATGCCCAGCTAAGTTTTGTATTTCGGTATTTTTTCTTTTTGGGACAGAGTCTCACTCTGTCACCCAGGCTAGAGTGCAGTGGCGCAATCTCAGCTCACTGCAACCTCCGCCTCCTGGGTTCAGGTGATTCTCGTGCCTCAGCCTCCTGAGTAGCTGGGATTGCAGATGTCTGCCACCACACCTGGCTAATTTTTGTATTTTATTAGAGATAGGGTTTCACCATATTGGCCAGGCTAATCTCGAACTCCTGAACTCAGGTGATCCACCGACCTCAGCCTCCCAAAGTGCTGGGATTACATGCATGAGACACCGTGCCTGGCCCAAGTTTTGTATTTAGTAGAGATGGGGTTTCACCTTCTTGGCCAGGATGGTCTCAATCTCTTGACCTGGGGATCCACCTGCCTCAGCCTCCCAAATTGCTGGGATTACACGTGTGAGCAACCGTGCCTGGCCAAAATAATTTTATTAGAAAACTTAAGGGCAGTGCCTGGAATTGAAGGAGAAGCCCCAGGAGCATGTTTTGGAAAGAGAGGTTCATGGGCAGCTCTGAAGGGTGGTGTGGCAAAGATCAGGAGACATTCGGTCTGGGGGTGAATGGGCCACTCTGACCGAGCCCCCAGCCTGGAGAGGGGCATAGCTGGAGCAGGTCTGGGCACACTTGAGCGGTGGTGTCCAGAACCTGTACATCCCGCAGTGTTGCAGCTGCAGGAGGACAGAGGGTGCAGCCAGGCGAAATCAGAAGCCGGCATGGTTCTGGAAGGACTGAGAACATGAAGTGTCATGGCTGCACCAGGGTTTCTGTCCCCTGCACCCCACAGCACCCTGATCTTTCACCCTCAGGAGACAGCAAGCACAAGGGGCTGGGAGGAGGGCAGCCAGTGAGGCAGGAGACATGTTCTGGCCCCAGCTGGGTCCTGGTCCATGGACCCACCTCCCAGAAAGCCCCATCACTGTATCATCGTCTATCAAGGGCCCACTGAGGTCTGTGAGCACATCTTTTTCCTGGTGTCGCCTGACTGCTCTGTATTTCCCAGCTGGGAGCCTAGGGTGCAGGACCCTCCCCGGGACAGTGAGGGCCCCCTGTCTGTGATAAGAGGCGGCCTGAGGGGTGAGCCCTGTGTGCCCGTCTCAGATGCGGGCCTGAGGGTGCAGCCCTCGAGCTGGGCTGGCCATTTGGAGGGGTGCACCGGGGTGCCAGCTGTGACATCCTGAGCCTGCTGCGCTCCTCTCCCCAGATGCTGCAGCAAGAGATGGTGCAGCAGCCTCCTTCCTCTCTGCAGCAAGGGAATGATGTCTGTGGTCAGCGGGAGGCTCTGGGGAGCACAGGCTGGTGCAGAGCGGGGGCCCTCCCGGCATCTCACCCACCCTTTTTTCCATGCCAGCATAACTGGCTTTTTTGGGGATCTGCACTCAGCTCCAGGGAAGGTGGCCGGGATCATCCCAGTCTGCCTTGGTTCCCTGCCCTCCACAGCCAGGTGCCTGTGATGAGCTTCAGCCACTGAGATGGGGGGACTGCTAGAGTCTTCAGGGGCTTGTTCTCTGAAAGTGACAGGCAAGCAAGGAGAGCTGGGTTCCTGCCTCTTCCTTCCAGATGCCTTGAGTCCACCCACATGGGGATGTGGTGTTTGGAGCTCCAGCAGCCGTCCTGTGCTTGGGAGTCAAAGAAGAGCCGGTGTTCCAGGGACAGTGAGTGCAGCAGAGGTTGAGCCCAGACCTGCTGTCCTGAGAGGTGGCTGGGTCACTGACGCCTTGGCACTGCTGCTGGGGTTATGTCGTGAGCTGCCGCTGAGCCTGTTCCTAATGACCGTGAGACCCGAAGACTACTCTCAAGGCTTGGCCTCTGCCATGCTTGTGGGGGATCGTGGATCCTGCTTCCTCCCTGGCCCTGCTGAGCCCAGTGAGAGCCTGAGGCACATGTGGCTTCCCCAGCTGGGCCCTTTTCCACTGAGCCAGTCCCCCGCCCCAGAGTCTTCAACGCAGGCACCTCCCACCCTCCCACCCCCCACCCCCGGTTCAAAGGAAACTGATGGCCCCTGAGCCAAGGGCTGAGGCGGGCTGTGGGCCTGGCTGTCCTTGGGAGCTGTACTGGAGCCCACCATGTTGGGACCCAGAGGCAGACTCACGGTGGCCCAAGAGCTCGGGACTGTTGGTCCAGTGGTGACCCCCACCTCCCTGTGGGTGGCTGCAGCTGGACAGGCACCCTGGGCTACAGAGCTGGGTTCCCTGCAGCCCTTGGGCGCACACTGCATGCATGCATACGTGTGTGCATATTCATGTGTGCACACGCGTATGTGTGTGGGTGTTGCAGACCTTGGGTGCCAGACACGGAACAAACCCAGGAAGGCATCTGTCTTCATTGTCCTCATGGGACCCCAGTCCAGAAACGTCCTTGTGGGAAGTGCTCCATGGGACCATGCCTCTGCCCGTGGGAAGGCACCGTCCACCACGACCCTGGTGAGCAGGCACGCCGGCCCCATGTGTCTTCCTGCCGCTCCACACGCAACATCTCCAGGGGCACTAGGAGATCCAAACAGATAGGATTAGCTGTAGAAGTATCTGATTCCATCTAATCACAGATGGTCCTGAGGCTAATTTATCTCCCCCATGACCATAACGAATCAGAATGTTGATTTTTTCCAGCTCATCTGTACCTCATCTCCTTCCCACAGTGCCCCGACAGGCACATCCAATGAGAACCACAGTGGGAGTCCTGTGGCAGGGTCATCCACTTCTGATGCCCTCCAGCTGTGTCCTGGCAGGAAACGGGCTGCCTGATTCTCATGCCCTTTGAAGTCCCAGGCTGGGTGGCTGGGGTGGAGGCTGGGGTTAACCACCATCTATTTCAAAGGCCTCATTATGGAGATGCGAATGTGAACATCCCTGAAATGTGAGGATGCAGTGGGCTGGGATAGGGCTGCTCACCGGCTCATGGCCACAGGGGAGCGGGGTTTGGGTCTGTGAAGTGTATGGATGTCCAGGGACTCCTATGCAGGGACATGGCCCCTCATGCCAGGGGGCCGTCTGCCTTCCCCAGCCAGGCTCAGCCTCCTCCTCACATCTGGAACCCTTCTCTCCCCTGTGCTCAGCTGGAAGCACAGCATGAGGCAGCAAAGGCCATGGGAGGCAAAAGGCTGGACTGAGGTGAGGCTGTGTGGGTGTGGCCAGACTGCAGGTCTGTGGAGGTGTGAGCAGGGCACGCTGTCCAAATGAGCTGTGTGTGCTGCCAGACCCAGGTCTGCCAGTCTGAAGATGGTTTGACCAAGTGTCCCAAAGCAGAAGCCCTGCCCATGTCCTTCCTGCATGCCATCCAGCAGGTGCACGCACCTGTGTCCATCAGGTGATATAGCAAACTGCCAGCAGCACTGTAATTGACAGAGTCTGAGGCCACCCCAATGTTCACACAATGGACACCACGGTCTGAGGCAGAGGATTGCAGCCACCAGCATGGGCAAATCTTAGCCGGAGAGAGCCAGCCGGGTGGGAACGTGGTGTCTGTGTCTGGTGCTGCTTATGTACCTGGTTCAGGTGGGGCATCCCTCTGCCTGCGTGTTCGTCATTGGTGCACGTTTATGTGTGTTGTACTCAATTAAAACATTTTAGGCCCAGTGCGGTGGCTCACGCTGTAATCCCAGCACTTTGGGAGGCCGTGGTGGGTGGATCAGGAGATGAAGACCATCCTGGCCAACATGGTGAAACCCCGTCTCTACTAAAAATTAGCTGGGCATGGCGGTGTGCGCCTGTAGTCCCAGCTACTTGGGAGGCTTAGTCAGAAGAATTGCTTGAACTGGGAGGTGGAATCTGCAGTGAGCAAAGATCGTGCAACTGCACTGCAGCCTGGGTGACAGAGAAAAACTCCATCTCAAAAAAAAAAAAAATTAAAAGCAGGCCAGGCATGGTGGCTCACACCTGTAATCTCAACACTTTGGGTGTCCGAGGCAGGCGGATCACCTGAGATTAGGAGTTCAAGACCAGCCTGACCAACGGCGAAACCCCATCTTTACTAGAAACACAAAAATTAACCAGGGGTGGTTGTGGGCACCTGCGGCCAGACTGCTACTTGGGAGACTGAGGCAGGAAAATCACTTGAACCCGGGAGGTGGGGGTAGCAGTGAGCAGAGATCAGGTCCCTGCACTCCAGCCTCAGTGGCAGAATGAAACTGGGTCTCAAAAAAATAAATTTTAAAGCAAAAATATTTATAAATTGCAAAATTCAAAATGTAACAAATATATATACTGCATCAGTAAATATTATAGTAATGTGCTCACACATGGAGGTGGCTTGTGAGTGATGTGGGCATTCCACAGTCAGAGACTGGCAGGCTGGCCAGTGACAGAGAGCATGGATCCTAACTCAGATGTCGCAGGTGCAAACATTGAAACCCTGATGCGGTGCCTGTCCCGTTGCCTCCTTTTCTGCATCTGTAAATGGGATGAGTAATTTGGTCCCCCCTTCTGCTTCCACCTTCATAAGGAGGTTTTTCGTCAACACAGACACGGTGTTAGCAAGGAAGTGCTAGGAGCGCCCTGGAGTGAACGCAGAAAGATGCCCGAACTGGGCATGGCGGCCCCTCCCGACCGTCCCTGCTGGGCCTGGGGGCCACACCCAACTGCTGTGAACGGATGGCAGAGCACCACGTGCGGCCACTGGCTGGAGGCGAGAGGTCTGCCTTTGATGTGGCTCCTGGTGCTGGGCCTGTGGTGCCTCCACAGCGGAAATAGGGGCACTGCTGGGGGAGGGCAGGAGCAGTGTCCCAGGTGCCCCAATGAGGATGAACCATGAGATGACTGAAGGGTCCGGAAGGCCTCACCAGGGTGCCCCCAGCCAGTCTGCTGGTCCGAGACCAGAAGGCGACACCCCCAGCCCCAGGGCTGCCATCAAGGGGGCTGCTAGTCTGGCTAGGCGAGGCTGGGCCCTTAGGGGCAGGGGCCAGAGCGGCCTCAGGCTCTTTGTGATACCTAGAAGCATCACCCCCTTCAGGGACCTCTGGCATTGGGCCCTTTCACCCTCTGCCCTGCCTGGAAGCCCCTCACACCCTGGTGATGTGTGTCTCCACCAGGGTCCATTCAGTTTCCAGAACTTTAATTACTGGGAAGTTCTCCCTGGTACAGCCCCCAAATCTGCCATGAACACTGACAGCTGAGTTGCTGCTCCATGCATGCTTCAGCTGAGAGCAGAGGAGGCCCCTGTCCTCACTGAGCTGCTGACATAAGGAGCGGGGGTTAGGGGCTGGGGCTGCTGTCCATGGCCAGTGACTATCTGAGGCGGAGGAGCCTCTGGAGGGGGCAGGGCCCGGGGAAACCCTGGACTCCTGGAGGGGTGGCCAGGCGGGGGCCCTGGTGACCTGGACAGATGGTGGTGTTTTTTAATGGGAAGGGGATGGGCTCTGTGTGGGACTCCCTGGGCGCTGTGTGCCGCCTGATGGCAGGCCAGGCGGGGGTGGGCACTCACTCATCCCAGGCACACGCCCATCATGTGGCCGCCCTCATGGGAGGGGCTCTGAGGATGACTTTAAAAATGCAGAGAAAGGCTCCATTCTTCCCAGGACTGCAGTCCAACCCTGGCCCAGGGAAGCAGGAGGCAGGCAGAGGTCTCAGAGGCCAGGAGGGGCCAGAGGTGTGGAAATGTCCTGGGAACCTGAGCAGCCTCCAGGGAAGAGGCAAGGAGGGAGCTGAGGACCAGGTTTGTTCAAATTGGTTGTGAGATGCCCTGAGGTCAGAGGGTTCATGCTAGGAAGTGTCTGGACTGGCTGGGCCATGCCCAAGCTGGCCGGTCCAGGAAGGAGAGGGTGAGTGTGAGGGCAGAACTGGGGTGTGCCCGGATGGAATGAGGCAGGCATGGGGGACACCCAGGGCACCCCAGCAGCACCATGAGCTAAGCAGGACACCTGCAGGGGGAGAACTGTGGGGACCTGGGAGCCTCCAGCGACCCCTTCCTGCTTCCTGGACGGGACTATGCCTATGCAGGGAGCTCAGAGGAAACTCCTGGGGTCCCTCAACTCCACCCCCACAGCCACCTCCAACCCGGGGCTGGCTGCTAACCACACAGGAGCTCCATGCCTGGAGGTGTCCATCCCCGACGGGCTCTTCCTCAGCCTGGGGCTGGTGAGCTTGGTGGAGAATGTGCTGGTGGTGGCTGCCATCGCCAAGAACCGCAACCTGCACTCGTCCATGTACTACTTCATCTGCTGCCTGGCCCTGTCGGACCTGCTGGTGAGCGGCAGCAACATGCTGGAGACGGCCATCATCCTCCTGCTGGAGGCCGGCACGCTGGCAACCCGGGCCTCAGTGGTGCAGCAGCTGCACAACACCATCGACGTGCTTACCTGCAGCTCCATGCTGTGCAGCCTCTGCTTCCTGGGCGCCATCGCCGTGGACCGCTACATCTCCATCTTCTACGCGCTGCGCTACCACAGCATCATGACACTGCCGCGGGCGCAGAGAGCCATCGCGGCCATCTGGGTGGCCAGTGTCCTCTCCAGCACACTGTTCATCACCTACTACGACCACGCGGCCGTCCTGCTGTGCCTCGTGGTCTTCTTCCTGGCCATGCTGGTGCTCATGGCCGTGCTGTACGTCCACATGCTGGCCCGGGCCTGCCAGCACGCCCAGGGCATCATCCGGCTCCACAACAGACAGCTGCCAGCCCACAAGGGCTTTGGCCTCAGAGGTGCTGCCACCCTCACCATCCTGCTGGGCATCTTCTTCCTCTGCTGGGGCCCCTTCTTCCTGCATCTCACACTGGTCGTCTTCTGCCCCCAGCACCTGACCTGCAACTGTATCTTCAAGAACTTCAAGGTCTTTCTCACCCTCATCATCTGCAACACCATCATCGACCCCCTCATCTACGCTTTCCGCAGCCAGGAGCTCCGAAGGACGCTCAAGGAGGTGCTGCTGTGCTCCTCGTGGCCGGGGTGCTGGGCAGAGGGAGGTGGTGATAGTGTGTGGCCTGGCTCCTGTGTGACCCTGCGTGGTCCCTTACCTCCCTAGTCCCCATTTGTCAGAGGATGGACTAAATGATCGCCCAAAGTGTTGAAGCGCAGACCCTTCTGGGACCAGGGAGAGGAGTCCATGCGAAACTCCAGGCAGGACTCCTCACCAGCAGTCATGGGGAATGGAGGAGACCATGGGAAGTTGTCAGGCTCCGGGCTCCTGAAGAGACATTCTCTACCCACTCCTGGGGCACTCCACCTGCTCTGATGACTGGGCAGCACCCATCCCACCCCATCTTTGCTGCCAACTCTCAGGACCTGTGCCCTCCTCAGCTGGGATGTGAAGTCTCTGGGTGGAAATGTGTGTCAAGAGCTTCTGAGAGGGAGTGCTGCTCCCACAGCAGCCCCAGGAGAAGGGGCTTTGTGACCGGCTTAGCCACAGTCATGCAGCCGCTCCTGCAGCAGGAAGTGAAATCCCTGTCTCAGGCCGAGGGACCAGGTTTGCAGGAGCCTCACAAGTGGCGTGGGGCTGACCCCTGTGGAGGGCCAGTTCTAAGGCTTGTCCTGGTGACTGGGACTGGGTCCTCAGCCTGCTTTTCTGTACCAGTTGCCCAGGCAGACAGCTCTGGCAAATGCCTGAATCAGTGACCAGTGCCTGGGAGCACAGGGCCGGGAGTCTGGTAATAAATGTGACTCAGCATCACCCACCTTAGCCCCTCCCAGAAAGTGCTTGAAGTTTGCGGGTGGAGGGGAAGGGGAGGGGAAGCTGGGCAGAGATGAGAGTCAAGAGAGGGAAGAAAGGAGTCCCAGAAAGGATGGCCCGCCTTGCCAGGTGAGGAAGCCACAGCCCCAGAGGCTCCGAGTGCCTGGGGGTGTGGATGCCCCAGCCAGGCTTGTGCCGACTCTGCTCCTTGGCTTTCTCTCCGTGCTTGCAAAGCCCAGCCTGGAGGAAGGAAGAGCAGGTGCAGCAGGTCCCCAGTCCCCTCCACTCTGACACTGTCCCAGCTGGAGTAGATACAGGTGCCCAGTCCTCCACGTGACCACATGTGACCTCAGCTGGGACACATTCCTTTTTCTCTGCCCTGGCCCTGAGTCCCTCCAGCCATGATCAGCCGTGAATGGGACCATCCCTGTGCACTCTGAGATGCCCGGAAGGGGCTCCAGTGCAGGGGGGCTGGGTCTGTTCTCTGCCCAGGACTGCCCTTCTGGGAGTGGGCAGGTGGGGACTGTACTTGATGTGAGGCCTCTGACGATGGGGATGAGGCAGGGGTCCAGCCAGTGGACAGGTCCCTGGAAGCGAGTCCCTGTTGCTGGGGAGCAGTGGAGCCCCTGGGTCAGCCCTCTGCTGAAACCTGGGCATTCGCTGAGGAGACGATCTCCATTCCCTCTGCAGACACTGGGCACTCAGCCTCCATCCGGGGACAGGCTCAATGGAGGCTGCAGGGGTGCCATCAGCCCCCTCCCAGGCAGGCCCAGTAAGCAGCCCCCTGGCCAGCCCCACCCCTGCGTCAGCTCCAGCCCTGACTGCCAGCCTCAGGACTGGGAGCTGCTTCCTGGCAGGGCCTGCCTCTTCTGGGAGACCGGACAGTGAGTCAGCCTTAAACCTGGCACCAGAGCCCTCTGAGGACAGCGCAGGAGCTGGCTGGCCTGAGGCTGCAAAGCTTTTTCCCTCGCTGAG